ATTGGTAAAGCTACCCTCCTAATAAGAAGCTGAATGGTATTGGAACCCAGACCTTGTTTCCAGGGCACACCCCCTTCTGCTTCCAGGGCTTTGGCATCTGCCATTTCTACCTTCTCTATGGCCTATACCCACTGTACTTTTCCCCACATGCATGTTAATAAAACACTTGTGTCTATGTAAAGAGAGCAAATGTGAACAAGTTTTATCAAGAAGGGGATTTATAAAGATGGAGGCCTCACAAAATCCAGCAATAATGCAAATGGACCTTAGAAACAAAGGTATATATTATTTGATATGTCTGGGATTCCCTCCTGACTCTATCCCAAATTCTCTGGGAAAGTTCATGAGAGGAGATCTCGTACAGCCAAAATAAAGAGTGCAGAGACAACCTGAGAGCTCTTTACCCATAATGCTCTTCTTGGTTGCTCTATAAACATGAAACATGTATGCCGCCCCCCATAAATACAATTAGAAACATGACTACCTCAACCAAATCCATGGATAACTAACTGCAAGTCGTCAGCAAGCACTAATCCGGATATGATGGTATCACATAGAGACCCCCCTCTTCCTCCAATTCAGTCACAATAACATGTGTCTCCCTGGAAACGTGCAATCTCTGATGAATGTAGCTTTCACCAGAAGATTAATATGTAACAGTACAGAAATAAACACGTTCAAAAATTCCCTTTCAGGGACGAAGGCACACATTGATCCATCACTAAACCTGAGAATGTACCCTTCCACCTGGATTGGGATGACAGAAATAAATCTCAGGTATAGGAAACCCCATGGGAGTCCTTTGCTTATTGTGTTCTTACTTAACCAGGCTGTACTTAGGCCAGCATTGTGCTCAAAATGAGGTTCTGAAGTTTGGAAATGCGTTTGAATTTCCCAGATGGCCCGAGGGGTCTGCAAAATGCGCCAGTATACCCCTTCCATAGCCCTGCACTAAGAGATTTGGCCTAATTAACAGGGCGTCTAGCAATGCAAGGCCAAATCACCAGGAGAATGCAGGGAAAACAGGGCTATCAAAAGAATTCTGTTTGTTGTGCGCAATAACTAATCCACTTTAGAACATTTACAAAAAGGCCCCTTTTATACTTGTCAATCCTTCTCTGTCCCCTAGAGACGTGTGCATCTCTCCTTCAACTCAGGAGTGGCTTTCCTAACGACCTGTGAGGCAGTCCTTGGAAACCTAAGTGTCAGGAACAATAGGGCCTCTGTCTGTCTGCCCCATGTTGGTAGGGCAGAAATCTAATTCCCAGCCAGCATGCACACTTGACCCAATCACATTTCCATTGATCAGTCTTGTGTAATTTTTTTTTTTTTGCTTCCTTGATGCTATTCCACCCCACCCTGTTTCCCCATTCTCCCACTCTTCTCTGTCCAAAAGGAAACAAAGCTCAGCTCGTTCTTTGCCGTCAGTAGTTAGTGAGAAAACTCTGTTTACAACACTGTCTGGCTTCGTTTATCTTTGACACTACTGAAAGCACAGAGTTCTACGCTCAGCGTTTCTAGGGCTGGGAATCTAGCGTTAGGCGTGGGAAAATCCTGTTCAGAATCATTGGCAGGTTTTGCTGATGTGCTGATCCAGAACTCCTGCTCTGGACGGTCAGTTATGACCCTGGTTCACCAAATGTGACTGCCTACTGACAGAAATGCTCTAAATCTTCATTTGAGTGAAAACTGGTTTCACGTTGGGAGCTCTCCCAGTAACAAGTGTTAATAACAGGTAGTCAAAATCTTGTCGTTGGTCTCCTTTCTCTTCCCTTCTTTCTGCCAGTGCTGGGGCTGGAACTCCTGGTCTTGTGCACGCTAAGCAAGTGCTCGACCACGGCTGCAGCTTCTATTTCTTGGCACTCGGAGGATGCTGCTCATTCCCTCTGCCCTTCTGCTCAAGACCCTCTCCATCAGAGACCCGAAAGGAAATAGAAGCTGAGCTCAGCACTGGTTTGCTTGGTTTTTATTTGTTCGTGGCACTGAGGACTGGAAGCTGGTAAGAACACGCCCAGCTCCAGGACTTCTCTCTGAGTCCTGGGAGCACAAAATGTCATCTCCCTTCCCATCAACGGAGGCTAGAGGACTGCTGTCCTTATCAGTTCCACATATTCAGGGTTTGTAATTTGCCATGCCTCATTTCTTTTTGTAACCAAATGTTATATTTGTGAGTGCAAAGACAAAATAAATAAACGAAAAAGCACAGCCAAGATAAAAAGGAGCAGAGAAACATTTTTTACTCAAAGCAGATAGGAGACCATGAGTATCTCAGCCAGCATGGCTTTGGGATTGACCTGATTTGGGGCAACGGAGAATGAAGAAATGGCAGGACACATCCTGAAAAGCTGGGATTGCATGGGCCTTGCACCCTGATGAAGAGCCAGCAGCAATAGCCTGGAAACTCAGCACGTTTATCATATACAGCAGTAATGGGAAGCCCCTTAGCTAAGCTTGGTAGGGGAGCTCTGTGGGGAGCAGTCTCAGGCTGCAGTCACTGGGGAGGAGGAAGCTGTCTTGATACTTTGCACGCCCACTAGCAGCATCATTCCCATGAGTCTGAGGCCTTGGGCTCCTTGACGTGGCTGTGCTCATGTCATTCATGCTCATCTGCACAGGGTATGCTCTTTCCCTACATGGGAGTTAATTCCAAAGTACTTCCTTCTTTGAACAAAGGAATGAGAGTTCAGGGAGCCTATAGAGTCATACGGGAAAGCACTGTAGCGGGGGCAGTATTTGTGTGCCTGCTCAGTTAAGGAGCACAGTCCCAAGTATGCTGTTTAAAAGCACCATTTAAGAGGGAAAGATACAAATTCTAGACATAGCTCAAGTTCACAGAGCATTAAAAGGCTTAACAGGTAGAAGAGGAATACTCTGTGAATTCTCAGCTTTTTGCACAAAGTTTTAGCAGAAAATAAAGAAGAGGACGCTTTCATGTAGGTACAGGTGCGCTCGTGTGTCTGGAGGTGCGTTCATGTGTGCCTGTGGAAACCACAGGGCAAAATTTGGATATCATTCCTTAGGAGTCCTCCAGCTCAATAAGGGTCTCTTATTGATCTGAACTTATCAATTAGACAGGCTGCCTGGCCACTGAGTCTTAGGAATCATGTCTCTGCTTACCCAGCACTGGGATTACAAGTGCACTGCACTGAGCCTGGCTTTTTCAGGTGGTCTCTGAGGACTGAACTCAGGTCCTCATGCTTGCAAAGCAAGCTTTTAACCAGAGAGCCATCTCACCAGCCCAAAGGATACTTTGAAGGTAGAGTAATGCAGGAGTTTGCCTCTGAAGATGGCTGGCTCATTTGTGGCTAACATTTTCACAAGTGCCTTATGATTCAATTCTTTTTGTTGTCTTGTGGGTTTAGTTTTTTTCCCTTTATTGTTTGTTTCATTTGTATCACTGACTGACCTGGAAAACACTACCTTCAAAGTTGTGTCAATCCTCCTGCCTCAACTTTCCAAATGTTTTGTTTACAGCTGTAAGCCACCACACCCAGTTAGAATATGGTACTATAAGAATACATGAACACGCTAGTATTTGTTTACTTTATTGGTTCCCAAAAACCACTAGGTAGCCTCGGCCTGGAGCTTAAGGCGATTGTCCTGTTTCAACCTCCTGAGCACTGGGACTGCGGGCATATACCACCATGCCTAAGGTGACAGTGTTTGTTTCTGCTGTAACCTTATCAGCTTAACAAGGAGTGGGCCAATTTCTAGGAAAGGGATGCTGGAAACTATCTAGGAAGCACATTTTTACTAAAAATCCGTTCTCATCTTTCATGCCTTCAAGCCACTGTCCTTCCATTCACTTTGCTTCACTATCCCTGCCATTCTGGATCTATGTAACTCTTTTGAAAGATTCCTTTATAGAATTTGTAGCTTGTTTGTATTTTCATCCTAACAGCCCCTTCTGACATCATTCATCATGATCACTTCTGGGTTCTGCACTTTCGTGTTCTGTCGGTCACCTTTCAGGAAGCTCCAAGGCAGATGCAACTATTCTTCAGTGCAGACCTTATTTTCTGCTGTATTCTGGCTGAAGGGGCGGGCCCTAAAAGCTCAATAGAAGACGGACACTACGTGGATTTCATCGGAGAGGCATGCTGCAAACAGAGTTCTCAAAAGACTGCCATCAGATTAGAACCCTGGCAGCTATTTTGAATTGCTCCTCTCATGGGCAATTTTCCTAACCATGGGGTGAAAGCAAATCGCCTAACCATATAGCATAGCTTAGTGAGTACCAATAAGGTTCAAGTTCTGGGTGAATTTGTGTGGGTGCTTTATCTCCCTGATCAGAGATCCTCAGGGCAAATTACAGTCAATTTCATTTTGTCTGTACATTGTTTTAGCTAAATGTTTTGTCACTCCTGAGGGGTACAACTCTTCAAAGAATGACGGGAGCTAAAAACGATGGTAATGGTTGTTATGCTTCAAGTGTGTTCTCGTCCACTCATTTAAAATTATGCATATCATCTTTTCTTTTTTTTTCTTTTATTTTTTTTTATTTTTTTTAATATTTATTATGTCCTTACAGATGGTTGTGAGCCACCATGTGGTTGCTGGGAATTGAACTCAGGACCTTTGGAAGAGCAGGCAATGCTCTTAACCTCTGAGCCATCTCTCCAGCCCGCATATCATCTTTTCTATGGAAGGGGAAATTCTCCCTCTCAGGGAACTTTAGCTCACTTTAGCCAAATTCAATCAATCCACTGTACTTCCTTTCCCATGATGCATCACCTCCATTCCTTTCCCTGGGAATGGCGATATAGTATCCTGAGGCAACGCAGTTGGATACAAGGAGTTTTGGTGCAAATCCTAGACACACATTTTCATATCCCGTTTCTTCTGACGTTGTGCACATCAAGGCCTGACCTGGGTGGCTGTCTGGTTCTTCCACTGCATCCTGATGCCATCCGGGAAAAGACTACAACTCCCAGGATGCCCATTCGCCCCGCCCCACACCCCTCCCCCAACTAGAAAGCGAGTATAGCAGAGAAGACGAGGCAACATGGCTCCCGGAGGTGGAAGGCAGAAGCTTCACCCGCTTTGAAGCAGTGGAGAAGAACAGCAGAGGGCAACTGGAAAAAGAGAAGTGACTAGGAATTGTCGTCGCTTTTACCTCCCCAGCCTCTTCTGAGTCTGGTCAGCCTCACCTTTGCTCTTCACCCGCACCCAGTCTGTGGTCTCCTCCCCGCCCCGCCCACGTTCCCTCGCCCCTCCCGTCGCCAACCCTTTCCCCGCCCCCCTCCCCCATACCCCCCGCGAAGTGCGCACGCGCCCGCCTCCAGCTTCGCGCGGGGATCGCCGCCTGGCCCGCTTGCGCAGCCGCTGTTCCTTCTGCTCACGGAGGAAGCATGGGCGTCCAGGGCTTCCAAGAGTTCCTGGAGAAGCGCTGTCCCGGGGCCGTGGTGCCCGTGGACCTCCTCAAACTCGCGCGCACCGTCTCGCGCCAGCAGCAGCAGCAGCAACAGCAGCAGCAGCAGCACCTGCACCGCCAGCTGCCACCAGCAGCCCTAGCGCCCGGGGCTCCACGCATCACCAGGGGCTCTGCTCCTCTGCCGCCGCCGCTCCCGCCTGCCTCCTTTGGCGCTTACTCCGGGGGCCCGGGGCCGACTGGGCACCATCACCCTGCTCACCATTTCCACCATCACGGCCAAGCGCCGCCAGGGCTGCATCCGCCGCCGCCCCCTCCGCTGCCTGGGGCTCGGGTATTGGTAGATGCGGGCTCGGCGCTGCCGCGGCTCTATGGTGGCTACCAGACGGATTGGGTTTGTGGCGGCCAGTGGAATGCCATGCTGGGCTACTTGTCAGCGCTGTGCCAGGCTTGTTCCTATCCGGGCGGCGACGGCCTGGAGCTGGTGGTCATGTTCCCTGGGGGCCTGGGGAAAGACCGACTGGCCGAATGGGGCCGTCGGTGCCAGGCGGAGCGGCAGACTGCGCAACTGATCGTGGGACACGTGGGCAACAAGGGCACCCCTCCACCGCGGGCCTGGTTCCTGCCACCTGCCTGCCTGAGCCACTGCGTGAGGCTAGCACTCATCCGCTTCCGGGTCAAGGTGAGGGAGGGGTCAGATTTTAAATGAAATGTCCCACACCTGTTCCTTCCAGACTAAACACCTAACCATTTACTGACTTACCTGCCACTCAGTCAGCTAACCTACTGGCGACCATTTTATCCACCTATGCCCCCTTCACATGGCCTCCTACCAATCCCCGAACCTACATGGCTGTATCTCTATCCATGTCGTCATAGTAACCCCCTTTTCCCTTCACTTACCCCATCGGCCTACCTGTTGGCTTTAGCAGAATTGACTCACAGTTTCTTTGGGGTTTCATGTTTCTCTTGCTATCATCTCCCTCAAACTGAAATAGTTTTTTCCCTTCATTTTCCAGTTGACATTCTCTCCTGTATCTCTTTTCAACCTCATGGCAAATAAAACAGATGTTAGTCGAACACCTTTCTTCTTTTCCCCCCATCCATTGAATCCTTTTCATCGCAGCATGCTTTTATCTTGGCATGCCTTAGCTCAAAGAAACAGTCCACTGAGTGAGTCACTGTTTAGGAAGATGACCACACTGAGTAGGGGGTTTCAAAGACATGAATGAGACACCGTTCCTGGTCTTGGCAGATCAAATATGGAACATTTATTTCATGGTGTAAATATGCGTGATGACTATGCTTTCTGGTACAGTACCTGTTTGGATAGGTGGGTGGTTTGATATCTGTGGGCTGAAATGGTCTCGGGAAACTTCCTGAAGATGACAGACCTTACCTACGTCTGTGAGAACTGGCTAGATTTGAATGGTTCACAGCTTTTAGAGGAGGTTGTTTTAAATAGTTACAGAAATCGAGCAGAAACAAAAAGAAATACCGAGTGTGTGAGACCCCATGGGCTTAAATGTAAGTCCAGTCTGTGAGTAAGTTGGGCCGCTGCATATGGAGCTTGGGGAAAAGCTTGGCAGCATCTCCGGTTCTTGGCACCACTGCTGTTACGCTGTTGCTTTCCCATACTCTTAGGTTTCAAGTTCCTACGTGTGGAGAATAGTAAGGCTTGAGAAGGAAGGAGGTGGGCAGGAAGGAGAAGCAGAAAAGCAGCCAGGGTTAGGTAGGAAGAAATTGCAAACCGGTTTTCCAACCAGAGTTTTGGGGGATGTCCTCTCAGGATTGGGGGGTTGGGGAATTGAGAAACTAAACAGGTGGCAGCTGGTGGAGTAAAGAAGCAATAGAGACAGAAAACTATGCTACGTAGAGATAGATATTGCAGAGGTTAGAGACTGGCTAGGCATGGAACGCTCTGCATCAAATCTGCCTAGGATTCATAGATTACAGCTTTTTCGATTTGAAAAGCCAGCACTGGGCTGGGGGCAGAGCTCAGTGGTAGAGTGTCATTACTAACCGGGAGACCCTTGCTTCCAGCTCCTAACCCTGCATGCAAAACAATCTAATCAGGAGCTAACTTAAAATGTAACTGCACCAGAACCCCACTTACCTGTTTTCCTGACTGAATGTTTCAAAGCAGATTCATTTGTAGTCATTCCTTGCAAATTGTTCTTAATGGCACCACCCAGGCTTCAAGGGATTTTTATTTACCCCATTGTTTTTTATCTTGCCATCGCTGGCAAATTGACTGCTGGCACAACTGCCAACTGTGTTATTGGGGCAGGGTTTTGCCTTTTTTGTGGGGGGTGGGCTTGTGCTGGGGACGTGCTTTGCTGTTGGACTACACCTGTAGCCCTTACGTGCTTTAAAAAATTGTCTCAGTGGATCTTTACAGTAACCCATGAAGCAGTATTGCCCCTGTTTTCCAAGTAGGAGAACCCAGCGGACCCAGGCGCTTTACACACTTGCCCAGTGATAACCTAGTAATAAATGATAGAGCTGGAATTCTGGGATTTATGTCCATGAAGTCTGACTCCACAGCTTGTGTTCTTAACAACAGCGTTGAAAGATGAATCTTTTTAAAGAGGCACCGTGGTTAGATGATTACCTCACTGGCACCTAGAGGAAAGCAGGCTCTGTTTATCCACTTGTGTTCCTTTACCAAGTGCTTTCTGTTAGTGAGTACTGTGCTGGCTGCAGAGAATTTACAATAACGACTCTCCAGGGAGCCAGGGTTTAGTAAAGACTAAAAACAAAATCCAAATACTCTGCTAATTGCACTAGATGAAAACTGCAGCCTCTTTGCAGGGGGGCATGGTGATTGATTTCTTAATGAGTGATGAGCATGTGCCAGTGCCTTTCCAGATTGCCCATGAAGAGGGTTAAGGTAGTAAAAAGAGGCTGCTTTTTTCCCCATCCATTGAATCTTTTCCATTTCAGCATGCTTTTATCTTGGCATGCCTTAGCCCAAACAAACAGCCCACTGATAGTGGCCAAGGTTATGGAGACCTAGAGCAGCTTGTTCGCGCTGAGTAGGTAACTATTATCATATTTACAACTATTATTTGCTGAATAGGTTTTGATTGATAGTTGGCAGGAGAGAGGAATCCCGTAGGTCTGAATTTGTTTATATTCTCCACCAGTCAAAACTTTTGAGAACCAACTCTTAAGTGTATTTTGTCATATTTATCAGTTTTTTTGGCAACAAGTTCCCATGTATTCCAAGCTATTTTTTAATTCGTTGTATAGCCATGGCTGTGCTTGAATTCTTTCTGATTGTCCTGCCTCTACCTCTTGAGTACAGTGATCAAATTTGGTGCACTGTCAGTTGTTTTTTTTTTTAAATCTTAGCAGTGGTCATGGGCAGTCACGTATGCCTGCATGATTCCAGGTACCCAAGAGGCTGAGGCAGAAGGATGCTTGAGCCTTGGAGTTTGAGGTAAATATGGTAATATAGTGAGACACCATCTGTAAGCAATACACACAAAAAATGATGGCTTGGATAGATCCTAAGAGAAGAGATTGTAGGAGTGATTTCTAAAAAAAGTGTTTAGTCTTATAGGTAGGATGACTTGCACACCTCATCCCAGTCTTCACGGAGCCTGAGGCAGTTCTGAGATGCATAGCGAGACACATCTCAAAAAAACAAGTTAAGAGCATGTACTCCTCTTGCAGAGAACCCGAGGCCCAGCACCCATGATGGGTGGCTTACAACTGTAACCCCACCTCCAGGCATCTGACACTCTCTTGTGGATTCTCTGAACAGATGCACAAACACTAGCAAAAGCGTGTAAAGTGTGACTTAAGACTGACTCAAGAATTGTGCAAAATAGTGTTGATGCTCTTAGATCACTTGGCTGTGATCAGCAACTTTGTTGTTGGCGTGATGAAGAATGTCTTGGATTGTGGTGCAGACATGAAAGAGTATGGGTCAATAACTGTTCGTTGCCTTTTCAGAACTGCATTCTGTCTTGAAGGTGGCAATTTTTCACATGGGTGATTTGCATATGGAGCATTTCTCTTGTTTGAATATTAGTGCTTCAGAACAAAAACTGCATCTCTATTGTGCCTTGGTTTTGTTCTTTAGTTTAGAAGTCAAGGTGAACCTTTATTTTTAACCTCACTTTCATTTTATTATAGAATAAAGAAGTGGCAGGATTAAATACTTGATAAAGTGCTGGCTGGATTTTCTGTTTAGCTTTAGACAAATTTGGACTTCATAAAAATTTTGGTGTCTGTTGTTGAAATGTTTGTAATTTGGCATGTCATAATTATTTGCTCAGTATACCTTTGTAAGTGAAAACAACCAGTAGCAAGAAAATTTAGTAACCCCCAAGTTCCTGGCCCCATTCCCTTCCAGAAATAGAGTAACATAGGGTAGGCTAAGACTGACTCGGGAGATGATGCGATGTAATGCAGGCAAATGGAAGCTTTATTTAATGGTTATTGTAAATGAGCAAAAAGATAACCAGCACATAAAGCCCTCCACTTCACAGTTGTCTTACAAGGCAACTAAGTGGGCTGATGGAAAAGGAAAAGTTTGGTCGTGTCCTCAGAAACCCTATTGGTGGCACGTGAATAACCAGCCTCGAGAACTCTTTCTGGGTGCAGGTGCCATTTGTGCTTTCCTCCTGATTGTTTCCTAATCCTGTCATTGAGACTGAAAAGCCTGGTTCTAGATACAAAATGATCATGCAAACTCTCGCTGTCACTTCTTGAGCACCAAGTTGGGTATAAAATGTTTTTAAACACAGTGTTAATCTTTGTCAGATGTACTTTCTCCTCCCCATTTTACAGTTAAATAACTTAAATGCAAAGAGGGAAAATGTAGGTTGAGGATTTTAATATAGTTGAGTGTTGAACAAGGAAGATCCTGGGTTCAGTCCTTAGGGTCAAAGCCAAACCAAACCAAGCATATTTTGGTGCTGTGGATTAGCACCTATGCATGATTGGTACCTACTGAACCACTGAACCAAAACCCAGATCCAGTCATTTTCTTTTGGGAGAGGAGGTGGGCTCTGGTAAGCGAGCTATAAAAGTCATTAGCGCTCTACTGCTTACTTAAGTCTTTCTGCAGAATCACATGACATTTTCTCTTGGAACATCTTTTTGTGTAAGGTTGTGTACTTTTATTGACTTAAGTGCAGAGAAACAGAATTGTTGAACATTGCATTTGTGCCAGCAATGCTGAAATTCACAGTCCTGCCAATAGCAGACAAATGTCTTAGCTAATTGCCAAGTGAGTCACACAGTGACGTTTAGGAATTCAGAAGTAGCAATCCCTTTCTGTGCACAAATAATTGGGTGCACGCGTGCGTGTGTGTGTGTGTGTGTGTGTGTGTGTGTTAATGCTAATGGAACCTGGAACCTCACACATGTAGATGAGCACACTTCTCTTAAGGTCCTGGTCTCATAATAATCTTTACAATATTAATCAATCTTACTTCCTTTAAGCCATTATCCTTATCTCCTTTCTTTGTTCCCCCCCCATTATTCTTGAGAAAAGACTATTCTCATTTCTTAATCTGTTGCCACTTAAAAGTTTTTTTATTTGATGTGGGGGTGGAGGGTGTGTGTGTGTGTGTGTGTGTGCGCGCGCGCACGCACGTATGCACATGTGTGTGCATATAAAGTGGGTGCGTGTGTAGCACAATGAGAGTGTGGAGGTCAGAGGAC